ACTTTTGTCTTCTTCCGTTTGTAAGTGCTTCGTTGCTCCTCCATTGGCAGTTACCATCAGTTATCTGTCTTTTTTTACGTTAGCAAAAGGAAAAAGGCAGCAAGTTTACTTGTTTAGCTTGTGTAAGCTTCTGTAGCTGGTTCACTATTTATTTTAATTGTATCTTGTCTGTTAACGAGCTTGGAAACAATATGATGCATGTAAGTTGTCTAAAAGGAAGCCCACAGTCCACCAAAATGTTTGTAAGACAACATAGCTCTCAGTACTTGTGTTTCTATTATGCATTATTAAGCAACATAGATATTTTTGTGCCAATGCTGTCATTATTTCTGATTCCCTATATAAAGATATTTCTCTTTGTAGGTATAATAGGTGCATCAAATGATTTAAACTTCTTATTATGATTTGTGAAGTAATTTTAGTTGAAATGATGAACGGATGAAGCAATCCAACATTTTTCTCAAAACTTTGGATAGGGAATTTACATCGTTAGTTACCTATGGGATCCCTCCTAAGATGTTGGCTTTACAGATTTTTTTTTTGGGGGGGGGGGGTCTTCCTGTTGCCAACAAGAACTAAAATTAGTGCTTTTGGGATGCATTGCTTGTTCATTTCTATAATATGTTTGGATCTGATTTGTCTTTTTGTGCTTCGTGGAAACACTGTCAATTTTCTGGCTGACACCTGTTGCGTTGTGATTAGCAGCCTGTACCTTTTTCTCTAAATTTTCTATGAAATGCTGAGCTGCGATTATATCGCCAGCCATCATATTTATGATTGTTTCTGATTCCTTAGGGTTTGTTGGGAATGTTAGCTAATGTAAAAGAAGCATAATGCACACATCTCCAAATCAATATTAAAGTTTAAGTTCATCATTGCTAGATTTATGCAAATTTTTGCTTGTGAAACTGGCAATAGATACTAAGCACCTATTGGCACACTCTTTTTGTCCAATTTCAGTTTTTTCAACCTAGGCCAATGTAACTGCAGTATAAGCAGTATGAATTGCCTGTGTGCCACCTATTACATTACCACATGTTTTATACCTATAATACTTTCCCCTTTCTGTCGCTCCAGTTAACTTACGTATGCTTGCCAGTCAGGACCTGACGAAAGGACTATTCCTGGAAATACTATTGCTGTTCAAGCTGACATGCCTTTTTTAGGTCTTACAACATTTGGGACTGCAATTTTATCCAAGTTTGTGTCTTAACTCGTGATGGGACATTTTTCTTTGTTTTGCTCTACATATTAATAGTCCTTTTCTCATTGACATGCAGCTTATGAGAGTTTATGGTGCATTGATGTGGTCTCTTGGGAAAGTATTGAATACACCTGAGGTTTCACGTGTTTATTTTTTGTAACTTCTGATACCCTGATCTTCTTTATTTCACTATTTGGTATTTTATGATAGATTACATAAGATCTTCAAATTGTAACTTCAAAATGACTAGTAGAGTATTGATGTATTTCATTTACTTTATTAAAGCTTGACTCGGGTATTACTGGATTTCTCCATTACTTAAACAATAGTATATTTGAATCTTGTTCTGGTATTGACCTTAGATCATTCAAGTGCCTGCAAATCATTCAAGTAACTTCCATGTTTGTTTGTAGATCATTCAATGACAAACCAGTAAATGAATCAGCTGTTGGTCCACTTGGAAAGGAACTATTTGAGAGAGAGCAAGATGATCTCCTTTCTGATCTCAAAGATTTCGTCTCCCCTTTGCTGGTACATACTGTATTCCCATTTTCTAGATACTTTATGAAACAGAAATGACTACTTTCCTGTATAATTATTGTAGTATTCATGTTGACTGTTCTTACAGGCAGAGATGGAGTGCAAGGTGAAGCAGTTTACAATTGGTTGAACAAGAAAAAATAGTTTGGTTTCTTTTTGGATATCCATATTTGTGAATTCATTGTAGTATTCATGTTGAACATGTAGATGGCCAGATATCATATCTGTATATATGATATATGTGCTGATAGATCAGACCGATTCTATTTTTGACATAAGTGTTGACTCCATTCACGATAAACTACCGATTTGTGTATTATTTGAATGAAACCTTGTTGGTCATGCACAGAAATTACTGTATGGAAAATATATATTTTAATATGTTGTTGCTACTGTTTTAAAATATTTTTTGTGTGTTTAACTCTTTTTCCTGTGAGGCTGGCTACACAGAAATATTATTTTTAATCTGGGTGAAATGAATTTTTCTGTGAGTTTACCTAGACCGACAGAAAAAAACGTGTGTTTTTCTGTGCGTTTATTTCTTTTTTTTCTGTGTGGATTAACACATAGAAAAAATAGTTTTAATCTGGGCGAACACAATTTTTCTGTGCGTGTGAGACCCACAGAAAAATTGTTTCTGACGGTGAACCGACAGAAAAATTCGATTTTTCTGTCATTATATTTCTGTGGGTATTTTTCTGAGGGTACACCGTCAGAAAAATATTTTTCTGACGGTATTCGTATTTTTCCGTGGGTTTTTGCACGCATAGAAAAATTCAAGATTCCAGTAGTGCGTGTGTTGCAGCAGAACTTTCTTAAATTGCACGTCCCTCATGTGGTCAATCACCTGTTAGCTTTTTACCTTTGCCTAATCGTCAATTTGTGAGTGAAATTGCGCCATGTTCATTTAGTCTTGCAGATGATTAATCGATTCACCATATCTGCTTTCTTAGTCTTCTGTGAGATGAATTTGATTTTATTTTATTTATCCACCGTGGATGGACCTGCAAGCAGCTGCCGATTTTCCCATAGGGTTGCTGATTCCCTTGGCATAAACATTGCTGATACAGGATGCTCTCACTACGTTAATCAGGCTCATTCTTTATTTACTAATTTTTTGTTGCCATAACTTACCCTCCTGTTCTTTCTCGTCTAACAAAATTAGCTACCGATGTCTTCTTCCATTTCCAAAACCATGGTTCCAATGTGGGCAGCTGTGACAGTAGGTTAGCCAGCAAGACAAACTTCACCATTTAGACTGGAACTAATCAACAGTGCACCTGCAACAGCACTGGCTATGGTGTTCACTTAAAAAAAACAGCACTGCCTATGGTGGAAACCCCTCTTAATGTACCACACTTAGGGCCTCCACAAACCACAGAACCAAGAGGCAAATGTCACAAAACAAACTATCAGAAATGGGCGATTTACGACTGACCACAGTTGGCACTAAAATAAGACAATATAACCACTACTATAGATCTGACATTCACTGCCGACTTCATCACTATCGGTTTTTAAGAAACCGGCAGTGACGGCACATCACTGCAGGTTTTTTGACATATCCGACAGTGATAGGACCAACCGACAATAATATTGGATCATCACTGTCGGTTTGTAGCTAAAACCGACACTGATACTATCACTGTCGATTCTAGCCAAGAACCGACACTGATATTGGGTCATCACTGTTGGTTTCACTGTCGTTTTTTTCAAACCGACAGTGATATAGTACAAGAAAACTTTCATGACTTTCTCATATGATGTCTGATGAAGACGAACGTTATATCAATGCTGTAGTACTCGACGAGATCTACAACATTGTAGTTCAAACTTTTTTGATTTAAGATCCACAAGAGTTTGTAGAGTTAATACCAAAGGAGTCAATATTCTCCATAATCATAAGTGAGTGTGCAGTTGTAGTTAAGAATCTCGGATGGAGAAGTGACCAAAACAAAAGTTGTAAATATTGAAAAGTTATGCAAGTTTGTAGTTTACAAGTTTCTTATTTGAAATCGTTATGATGTCACTCTATTTGATTCGCAAGATTTCATAGAAGTTAATATCAACTAAAGGCATATGTTCTATAGTCATAAGTAAATGTGTAGTGGCATTTGAGAATCTTGGATGGAGAAGCAACCAAAACAAAAGTTATACATCTCGAAAAGTTTTGCAACTTTGTAGTTGACAACTTTTTTTATTTCAAACCATTTATCTAAGAAAAATTACGTTTGATTTCTCAAATTTAAAATTTGAATTTTTCAAACGACCTCGGATGGAGAAACACCCAAAAAAAGTTGTAGATCTCGAAAAGTTGTGCAACTTTGCGGTTGACAACTTTTAAATTTAAAATCATTTATCCAACAAAAATTACTATAGAATTTTCTCACATTTGAAATTCAGAATCTTCAAATGACCTCGGATGAATAAATGACCAGAACCAAAGTTGTAGATCTTGAAGAGTTATACAACTTTATAGTTGACAACTTTTTCATTTGAAATCGTTTAGGGTCCTAAATACTCATTTCAAAATCAGATGAACATAAAATGCCTAGGACGAATATCTCATTTGGACACAAGCATCTCACGGGGTGGAGTGGTTAGGGGCGAAGACGCCAAAGTGGTGGTCAGGGTTTGAGCGCTGGTGGCGTGAAGCGCGCATTTTCAGCGTGAAAAATCGCGTGACTTGACACTTGTGACGCCTTTTATTGAGTTGCTGTCCGTGGGGTTATCTCCCCGGTATAAAAAAATTTTCCTATTTTTCAGCCCATTTTATGATTTCCTGGAAATCACATCAGTGTCGTTTTTCTCTTCACAATGTTTTTCAATCTTCGATAGGCAATGGACGATCAAAGGAAGAAGATGACTGTTTGGATCTTCAATGCACTCTTATTTCTTAGAAGTCATTTCATGTTTGCCCTTTGGTAAAGCTATTGTTTTCCTTTATATATATATATATATATATATATATATATATATATATATATATATTGGGCACTCTCTTGAGTGTCTTTTTCAAAAAAAAAATGAAATGAGAGGAAAAAGTGACACAAGTAGACAGCCATCGCCTCCATGCTCTTCTCTATGTATTGTTTCCATGAATTCCTTTCAAACCAATTTCCTGTGCTGCGGTTGCGTTTCAAGCTAACACTTTTGTTAAAATAAACCACTTGCAGCTCAGAGTACCATTGTCTCAACGGTGATCCCTGGACCAAGCCCTAGCATGACCCCAATGCCTCGTGCCAGTTCCAGCTCGTCATGCTGGCGCCGGAGCCCATCCTCCTGCCAAGTTGCCGTACTCGCTCAACACGTGCCTGCTCGCCCCCAGCTTCCCTGGCGCCAGCGCCAGCGCTGCTTCAACGCTGTCAAGGATAGCTGGCCCACCGGGGTGCACCGCCCAGAAGAGGTCATTCCAGTTCGAGCTGCCACCTGATCCGAGCATGCCGATGACGGCGTCGACCAGGCACTGTTCTACAGGCTGCCGCAGCAGTGCCGGCATCTTAGGGGATGGGCAGAACACGAGGCCGTCTTCGGTGAGTTTCCCCGCTGCGGCGTCCTCGCTGTTGGGCACCACAGTCTGGGAAGCGGACAACATCTCGAAGAGCGGGTGCTCAACGCCTGACATCTGGTGGCCATTGGCATGCCCACCGGTGCCGCTGCTGACAGAGCCAACGATGACGGCGGCCGCGCTGTCGCCGAACAAGGCTTGCATGATGAGGGTCTCGGGGTGGTCCTCATGCGGTGCGCGGAAGTTGATGAGCGTGTGATCGGCAGCAGCCACTAGCACGCGGGCGCCATGGTTGTTCTCAGCAATGTCCTTGGCGACACGGAGCGCGGCGGAGGCCGCAGAGCAGCCATTCATATACATCATCGTACGCTGCACCGTTGGGCGGAGATCCAGGAGTGACGCATGCCGGAGGTCAGCGCCCGGCATGTGCGCGCCTGAGCTGGTCGAGAAGACCAGGTGGATGATGTCGGCAGCTGGGCGGCCCCACTCTGCAATGGCCCGCGCAGCTGCGGCCGCGGCGACCTCTGGCATGGTGGAGGCCAGTATGCTCTGCCGGGCGTCCAGCGACGGCAGCGCGCTGTCCACCAATTCTGGGTGTTTGAGCAATGTGTCCTCCATGTCATGGAAGTAGCGCTTCTTTATTCGAGATTTTTGACCTACACATGCATGTACAACCATAAAACTCAGCCAACATTTTGCCAGTTTAGTTTTTAACCCAAGAGAGAAGCCACAAGGAGATCGAAGCAGGTTAACTAAAAGGAAACCAGCACATCAAGCTCTCACATATCCTCTCCATCTTCGCCTTGAGCTCGCGGAGGTGCTCGGATTTGGTGACCCGGAAGTACCAATCGGCATACTCTTCCTGTGCCACGCTGCTAGTTGGGTTAGCCGTGCCAATGGCGAGCACGGCTGCACCATGCGCCTGCCGACCCTTGGCGTCAACGGTGGCAATAGGCAGAGGGATTGGTGCCTGGGTTGCTGAGAGCCCATAGCAGCACAGCAATTGATATGTGAAAACGTAGAATGAATGCATGCACACGAAACAATATATAATCTCCAGCTAGACAACTTAAGGAATAAGAGAGTCGTAGCTAAATACTATTTAGAACCCATTTTTCAACATGTATTTTCATTCAATAAATTTTGCTCCAAATTAAACCTGTTAATGCAGCGGCCTGGAGCATCAAAATGGCGGGACGGGATCACTGTTGTGGTGTCGAGTCGAATATTGCCGCGGCCAAAGCTCCACTGCCTAGCCGTGTTGGGAGAGGAGGAGGTGGTGGGCATCAGAAAGCGCCATGATAGCACTAGAGAAGTGGCGTTTGACATGAAGGGCAACTGGTAGTACAGCAGATAGCTCTCAGGTGAACTCTGTAAAGTTTGTCCAGCACAGGGTTTCCTGCCTTTATATAGCCAAACACCACGAGGCAACGGATGGTTCCAGCTGACAACCAATGCAAAAACTGTATGAAGAAGTAGCGTTCCATGCATATTCTTTTGAGGTTTAGAAGGAATGTACCATGAAAATATTGTAATAATAGCATTGTGATGGCTGGGATACCATAGTGTATGGTTTTTTGCTGCTTGACTTAAGTCCTGGACTTTAATGGCATGCAGTTGCACTACTACAAAAATGTTTTCCATAGACGTGCAAAAATCCTTTCTAGAGGGACCCTGCTTGTGAAGAGGTCTCTGTTAATCTCTTTTTTTTTTTTGAAGGAAAGGGGGACTTATATTATATCTTGTCACAGTATATCCCTAAATTACACATGAAAAAATCTGAAATAAAAATACATAATATTCTATCCAGATTCTTCCATTCACTACGGAAACGTCAAATTTGCGAGTGTTTTTATGTTTGCCGAGTGTATTCCCTCGGGCACTCGCCGAATAAGTTCTTTGCCGAGTGCTGCGCTAAAAACACTCGGCAAAAAAAAAACACTCGGCAAAGAGGGGGTTTGCCGAGTGTTTTATTTTTTGCACTCGGCAAAGAAATAATTTTTTTTCTAGGAAACAAGGAGAAGAAAAAAAATGAAAAAAAAACTTTGCCCAGTGCCTATATCTAGGACACTCGGCAAAGGAAAAAAACATACTTAATTAACCAGCCCTAGCGGGCACCCCTCCCCTCCCCCTTGTTCTTCCCCCGCCCGCACCCCTCCCCTCCCTCCCCTCCTCCCTTTCCAGCCCCAGTGCGCCCCTCCCCTCCCTCTCCAGCGAGCCCCCCTCCTCTCCTCCCTCTCCGGCACCGGCGTGGCCCTGGCCTCCCCTCCCTTCCCTCCTCCCTCTCTAGCGCCGTCGCGGACCCGCCCTCCCCTCCCTCCCCTCCTCCCTCTCCCAGCGCCAGCTGCCCCCCCCCTCCCTCTCTCTCCTTGCCCCCCTCCCCTCCCTCTCCGTGCGCTGGCCTCCCCCCTCACAAGATCCGCCTGCCCCTCAGCTCCCTCCCTCGTCCCCCCTGCTCCCTACCCGAGATCCGCCCACCCGCCCCTCTCTCCCGGCGTGCCCCGCTGCCTCCCCTCCTCCCTCCCCTCCTCCGTCGGCGGGAGGCGTGGTGGTGGTGGTGGCATGGCGTCGGCGAGAGGTGTGGTGGTAGTGGTGGCGTGTTGGCGGCGAGCGTGTCAGCGGCGGGCGTGGTGGCGGCGGGCGTGTCGGCGGCGGGCGTGGCGGCGGCGGGCGTGGTGGCAAGCGCAGGAGCTGCGCGAGCCAGTCGAGCACGAGGAGGCGATGAGCTCGCTGGTGATGGTGGCGGCGCTGTTGGTGGAGGGGCTGGCGCGGTGGTGCTGTTTTTTTTATTTTTTTTGGAAAAATATTTGCCGAGTGTTTTTTGGGCACTCGGCAAAGTCTTTTCCGGGTGCCCGACGATTTACACTCGGCAAACAGCTCTTTGCCGTTAAAACCTACGCCGAGTGTCGTTTGCCGAGTGTTACACTCAGCAAACCCTTTGCCGAGTGTTTCTGGAGCTTTGCCGAGTGCCCTCTTGGTTCCCTTAGTGATTGTCTTCTTCTCCAATGGCTTCCCTGGAATGCCGGAACCAAAGTGCAGTCCTTATGCCAAATCCAACGACCAACCCTAAAATATTAGACTGAGTCTGTGTTAATCAATGAGCTCAAATTTAACCATAGAAAAAATTATAATTTGGATATTCAATGCTATACTTTTTCCCTTTGTTGATTAAAATTTAGCCATAGAAAACCAGCTGATTTTTGTATTTGAAACGTATATTTATAATTACAACAGTAGGAATGCTACATAATGACATTATTGGTGAACTAGTTAATGATTAAAACAACGGGCACTAAGCGAAGCTGACTGAACCACAAGATTATTCAATCAGGAAAACCTACCAGCGCACCTAGCACTAGCAGCCTAAGATTCTGTTTCCAATGTCACATGCCAGCGAATCCTTGTGACTTGTAAAATGCATGGCCTTATGTGATTTTATGTACAACACAAACCGCCACATATATAAAAAGCACAAAGTTCACAACTCCCACAAGGGTAAAGTCAAATAAAAGGAAGTCTGCCACTAAAACTCTAGCCATGATAAGCAAAAAGGTTCATCACTGTCATCTCAAGCACACGGCACCCCCAATTTATGTGGGGTCTGTCCTCTTATTTTTGCAGCAGCGTCCAGAAGCGGATCCAGATGGGAAAGGTGGATATCTGATGTACCTTTCCATGATGGTGGATGACAGATGGGAAAGGTTTAGATTCTTTGAGACGGCTCATGTCCCATGGGGGAGGTTTGGTTTTCTCCTGCCAATGGATAACTGTCTGGGAAATTTTCTGATGCGAGATGGGCAAACTAACATGGAATACCGTCCCTGATGGTAGTATCACTACACGGATCGATGCCTGAAAGTTAGCAATCGATCAGCAAACATCGGCTTTCCTGGTCAGTCTATCTGTCTTGTCTCTGACAGTTACCATCAGGGAAGACCATCCGTGATGGTTTTGGGTACTTTCATTGACTACTTTGGCCGTCATGGAAAAATTTGGTTGACCATTGGATGTTGAGAAGAAAGTCACTTACGTAGTCTCAAACTAAGTTCAAGAACTGCTCATGTATTTTTCTTTTTACTTAACCATAACAATCCAGTATTCACAACTTTGAGTTACTGCATACATTGTGTTGAAAGCCAAACGTACTTCGCACAATGATATAGTTACAGTAAAATCATTTTGTTTGAATAATTAATCAGGTAACTCGATCACGAACTATTGATGTCTGATTAGTTTAAATTAGAAATAAAATAGCTGAAGTCATTTGTGCATGCTCACTAGTTCATGCATCTAATCAAGCCGACTAAATTAGTTAATCATGGCTGCTATTGAACTGATTAGTAAAAATGATTATGATACATTAATGATTTTTGTCAGCTAATTAAATTTAGCGATTTAGAGGTATGAATGATGTAATTCTATGAATGACGTGATGCCTTGGCCAAATGATTATGATACATTAATGCTTACTAGCTAGTTGATGCATCCTATGAATGACGTGATGTCTTGGCCAAATGGTTGACTATTCGATAAGATTTATTTTATTTGGCTGCTAAGGATCGTGGATTACAACTTATGTACTAAATTTTTAAATGGCAGAAATAACAACAGACAAAAAACCTAGGATGTGGAAAAATATAACCATGCTGCTAGGCAAACCTGACTAAACCACAAGATTGGTCAATTTGGCCGGGAAAACTGACCAATTAGCACCTAGCACTAGCAGCCTTAGATTTTTTTTCTATTGTCACATCTCAGGGAATCCTTGTCACTTGTAAAATGCATGCCTCATGTGATTATTATATACATCATGAGATAAAGAACCAAAATCTATCTTGGCAAATACATCGTCCCTACCACAGGTGGCTGGATCACCGCGGCATGTGCTGAATTAAGAATGAATGCCTCCAATAACCTGCTGATCCATAGCTCTGACCATAACCGATACGAATTCTGATATTCTTCCCCGGCTTGTAGTGGAGCACAGAGATTCACATGTTCTGGGCTTCTCTCTCTCTCTCTCTCTCTCTCTCTCTCTCTCTCTCTCTCTCTCTCTCTCTCTCTCTCTCTCTCTCTCTCTCTCTCTCTCTCTCTCTGTGTGTGTCTCTAATGGTCCTCGCGGATGGTCGGTGCCATCTGGTTGAACAAGTAAATCGAGTGGAACCAAACAAAGAGGATCTCAAGAGCTCAGGTTAGGGCTGGAATCGGGCTAGGTTGGACAGGCCAGGCCCATGAGGGTCCTAAAAGGCAAATAAATAAGAAAAAATAATTAATTAGGTATGCTGCTTTGAGATTGGTGTTTTTAAAAAAAGTGGAGCCTCGGACTAGTTGTCTATGTTTTTTTTTGTCATTGCACATGATTTTTAGCCATGATGAATTTTCTTGTCATTGGGAGTATAGCTGGTGCTGGGCGAGGCGATAATTGTCTTATCTGAAGTTCCTCTTTTATTAAAAAAAAGAGATTTACTCAGCTTTTAAGAAAGCCAACAACAGAGGTCATACATACCGGGGATACCCGTTCAAACTGAAAAGACCCAAAAGCTCCAACTCATGGAGAGCAAACATCCCAAACGAAAGAGTTCTAAAGATGAACACACTGAACATAGACCCATCTATATCTGTACTTGCAAACGAAAAGTTCTTCTTATAGCTTCTT